CCCCCCCGCCGCAGGACGGCCGGGCGGCGCCCGCTGGACCCCCCCACTGTTGTTACTGGGAGGGTGTCACATCACAACAGCTAATGGTCTTGTCCAAAACAGGAGCTTCTACTAGGGCCTACATGGATTAGAGAGCCTTATTCTAATTAACTAGGCTGAAACAAGACCCCTCCCCCCCCCCCCCCCCCCCCCGCCCCACACCTTTTGAGTAGTAAAGATGTTGAAGGGTGTTTTGAGGTGTCTGTGAAACAGAAGGGCGCACACATGGTTTCGTAGCCTGCCCCAGCAAGGCTCTGGGGCTTTGATTTGCTTCTTGGCTCATTCAGGCCTCTGCAAAAAAAAAGAGGCTACCTTAGAGAAAGCTCTGCACAAGTGTAAGCTGTGAACTTGCAGCCCTCTGGCACAGCTGCTGTTTGGGTCTGACATCTCAAAGATAAGGCTCCAACAGACAGGCATGAGCCTGTGAGACAAATGCAATGCAGTTTCCCAGAAAAAAGCCTGAAGCCACAGAACAGGCCTGACCACCATTGCTGGGTATTAGCACGCCCTTAGAGAATACAAAGTGGCTGTATGCAGGCACACACAATGTTCTTTCAAAAGGCCTTGATCACTAGTTATGCGTGCAAGGGAGCTAAAGTATTTGCAAGCTTAAAGAAACTATCACTTGAAGAGCTTCCTGCAGCTGAATAAGGCCTTTATTCTCTATTTTGAAAGAATCTATTCGTATGCCTGTATCAGGAAAACATGGGTGGAAAGCTTGTTTAAAAAAAAAAAAATCATACTTCACTCCAGGTTAATATATCTTGTCTCGATTTGCAAACAAACAAAAAAAATATATGACTCAAAACCAATGTAGCATCTACAGTAGTTGGTCATGATACCACTCATGCTAAGTCTTCATTGCCAACAAAACCAGTGAGCTGTAGTAGTACTGAAGGGCTTTGTGGGTGGGAGTACAGAGAGCCTAGGCAAAGCCTTGACCCAAAGATGGGCGACAGCTGTGTTTTCATGGCAGTTTCTACACTTCAGCATTCAGCATAGTGGGGTAAAGCAAAACAGACTGAACAGAAGGAATAGCTAGAATATTTTATATAAAAGTAAGAAGGGGAAGGTAAGGCAGAAAATCAGAAGTGCTCATCTACAACAAAATGTAAAGTACTAATTGAATGCAAAAGCTTCTAGTTATACCCATGAAAAGAGTTAAGTTTGTAAACCTATAGTTTAACAACACATCTAAAAAGTTCCTCACTACAAGCAAAGTAGTCATTTACTTGCACTGAATTAAGCATATCTGAATTTATTGATGTAAAGCAGGCTAAGTTTTAAATCACATTATATCAAAAATACTATAAATGTCATTGTTACATTTGTGTAGCATGGATCACTTACACAAATACATACTTCATAAACAGCCAGCAGTTTTCTCTGGTTTTTGTTCCCTAGGAGACTTGTTACATTCCTTGAGTAAAAAGTTATTTGTCTAAAATCATTGTTATAAATGCACTGGTTAAAAATCAATAGTAAAAAGATTACTGTAACTGTAGCACACGCTGAGCCAAAAGCATGGCCATGGCCAGATAGATACACAGAGCAGTGATGTACCTGAAGAACAGGGAACTACAACTACCTGCAGGATTCAAAAGGCTACAGGCAAGGACTGAAGTACCCTTGTCTGGCTTCACAAGTTATCATTGGTTTAAAAATAAGCTGTCTACTCCTTTCTCAAAAGACGGCTGGGGCAGAAGGGTGGTGGCAAGACACTTTTGGGTCTTAAGCCTCTATGCAGGAACTCCAAGTGCAGCACAGTGCAGTGTGAGCAATGTAGGGTCAGAAGAAGCTATACATGAGAGGGGGCTGCTGTGGGACCCAGGCAAGAGCCTGAGTTGGACAGGAAGGAAGGAGAGGCATGTCTGTCCAGGAGAGGCTGCATATGTGATACAGAAGCCAGAGCTCAGGCACCTGAAGACAGTGGTATTTCCATTCAGAAACAAGATGAGTTTTGGTTTGGAATGCTATCTTCTTTCCCTTCATTAGGGATTTTGGTTTACTATTGCAAGACAATCTGTTACCTTTGCTGTACTGCAGGAATTCACAGGCATCAGAACTCTATAGAGGTAAGTGGCTCATACCCTTCCCCTTTGCAGCACCAGAGCTTGTTATCACCCCACTTACATGAGGACAAAGCTTTGTGTCAGTTCCTGTTAGCTCTCTCTCTTCATGGGAGCTCCCTTCCAGTCTTCACCCATACTGAGATAGCTCAAGTGTTCCATAAAGTGCATGCTATGATAGTGGTTTTGAAGTATACTTTGCTAACATGTAGTGACTTGGTGCTGTTCGGATTGCAGAAAGGCCTGACTTTCCAAAAGCTGAAATAAGCACAAAAACACTAGTCCAAACTAGCATTCAGAAATACCACTGCTTAAGGAGAAAAATCCAGCCTTTTTCTTTTTTCTGAAAGATCTGAAAGTGCCAAAGGAATACCCCCATTATATATTCCCAAGCAGCAGCCAGCCATTGTCCCTCATGTCTGGTTTTATTCACACAGTAATTTCAGAAAGCTCTAAGGCCCTTTGTTTAAGGCAAAAAGCCTAACATTTTATGGGAGGGAGCGTAAAAAAATATGAATCTCCTGAATGCAGACAGGTCTGTAATGCGAGGGTCTGTGACCCATGCTCAGATGACTGGAAGCTTTGCATGGAATTCAGTTTATGCTTGTACTGGCTTTGGCTCCTTACTTTCTATTAGCTATGCTTAAAAAGTCTATTTGAATTACCTGAACAGATTATTGATTATTTAATATATCAATTAACAAAGTAGCAATCTGGGCCAATATCTGACTGAAAACCAGGCACTGTTACCATATTTCCTACACACATCTCCATAATCAGGCTACAAGGGAGTTTTCAAGAAAAAGTACCAGAAAAGCAGTATCCCAGGATGCTTCAGAAAGCTGTGCATTATCAGCAGGTGAGCTTATTCCCATATATGGAATAAGCTAAGTTATAACCTCCTGAAACCCAATAGTTCTGTAACTTTAAAAAAAATCATTGTCAGATCTCCAATTGCTCTTACCTACCTAGGGTGCTCTTACCTACCATGAAGCTTTAGCATGGTTTACAGTGCAGCAAGTCCCCCCACCCAAATGCTGATTGGTAAGCTCATTGCCATTTCATCTGAAGCACAGAGGAAAGACCTAGGCCATTGAATGTACAGCTGCTGCCTTCCTAATAAGTCGCTCCGTCATTGGTGAATTTGGTCTCATCACATCACGTTCTCTCAGGAGGCATCTGAGAAAACAGAGAAGAGGTAGGAGATAGAAAGGGAGGAAGGTCATGTGTATATCAGCAGTTTTCCCATAAGATCCTCAGCCATATCACTGTAAGGAAGGACAGAGCGCCTGGGACCTGCTCTTAAGGTGCAGCATTTCTTTATAAGAGATGAGAAGTGTAATGTTTAGGGAAGGGACCAGAGCAGCAGCAGCAGGAAGGAAAACCAGGAGGAGGAAGATCTACCATTTGCCCTTGGCAGTAAGTAAAGGCAGAACGGCATTCTTTTCAGCTCTGACACTAAAAACAAACACTCAGGGCTCAGAGTGCACAGAAGACTTATTTTGATTCTTTTATCTAATCTTTACACACCAGGGAGACCTTGGCAAGGAGAACAGTCAGGGCCGTATGTAGTCCTAAAGATCCATTCTTTAAAGTGCACAGGCAGACCTAGTCGATAAATTTTAATAGAACTCAGTATGGGTCACTGAGCAACTCTTATGATGTGTACTAGAGCAAGCTCACATAGCTGAATCTCTAACATATTTCCCAATACAGTAGATACGTCATCATTAGGATGGACTTGATTTTCAGCAGTTCACAGAAGTTTAGCAGTCCACTAAGTACACTGATCAACAGGTAAGAGGCTGCAATAGATGCAAGAACCATTTAAAAATCAACTGCCCTGGAACAAATACAGATCATTCATCCGGACTATGAGATAATTGGGAGCTATTATACTTTTATCCTAGTTTAAAAAATGTTTATGCATTTAACTTGAATGATTGCATATAATTTCAGCTTTAATTTAGCGTCTGAGCATACTAGCCACTTCTTGCTTTTAAAAACAGTATCATTTCCACAAATATTTAGCAGGAAGAATACTCACTTAGCAAGGTTTTGTTTGGCTTGTGATTTACAATTTAAAGCAGCATGGATCAATAATTGACTGAAAATATCTCTCTGGAAAAAAAAGTTAGGAGAAAAAACAAGTTAATAAGTAACTTCTACAATATTGCTGATTACAATGTCTTGTTTAGCAAATTGTTAAAAATCCTGAGGAAAGAAACTCATCCACAAGCAAAATTAAATAGTTAGCACTACTAGTAAGTGTTTGCGAACAGCATTCAATCACAAGCATAATTCAGTTTTTCACTTTCTAAGAAAGAAGTGTTATTAATAATGTAAGTGCCTAACAGGCTACTGAAAGAGGATTAAGTCACATTAAAAAGCCTTGCTCCTTTACCTGAGCATTACTGCCTCCTATTTGGATTAATTGGTAACGGATTGGGTACAGCAGGTCTACAGCTTTGTCACAATTTCCATTTTCAAACTCTACAAAAGCCTGGCATAGTGGCAACCCCAGACTTGGAGCCAGGGAGAGCTCATGTTCTTCACAACGTGTTCTGTAGAACGAGAAAGTGATTAAATTCTGATAAAACAAATGATAAATATGCGTTCTTTCAGTGCCATTCTGTCCCTGCCTGCAGATAGAATAATTTTTTACCATACAAAGCCTGATGTTTCAAGTTCTTTGTTCAGATGATGGGTTTTCTGTAGTTATGTTACTTTCACCTTTTTGTTACCCAACAATCAGGAATTCTTCCCTGTTCTGAACATATTTGCTAAAGGCACAAGCCCAATACTTCCTGCCTTTGCAATATACGGTTTTGGCTACAACAAGTAGAAAAACTTTTATCTGACAACTAGCTTGGTAATGACCCTTACTGAAGGGCAAAGGACTTGGATGACAAAGTAGAGACAATACTTTGTGCGGGTTCTTCACCACCCAAGTTTTTCTGGTAGCAACTTCTCCCCTCAATGTGCACTTTTAGAAGGAACAGGCAAGAACAGAGAAGAGAAGAAACAGAAACGTGTTTCCTTAAATACACTTGGGAATAAAAACATAGGGGAGTTACTATCTCTGTCTTCCAAGGCTCTTTTCTCTAGGCAGAAATGCTACACAAGTTTCTATCCTAATCTCACCGGAGCATCTTATTGCTAGTTCTTTGACTGTCTGCACCTGTGTTAAAAATCACTAGCAATTTCTTGCAGAGAGCTCCAAACTATAACCTCACAAAACATCTCTGTTCACACACCTCAGTGTCACACCGTATCTCAGATATAAACTGTATCATAGCTCTCAAAGTCTACTCTCTCTTTCCATCCATGAGTGCTCTTAGACCGACTGCTCTCAGGTTCACAAACAACCGAAGAATTTCATCTAGTTCTTAAGGTAAGTATTTTTCTTTCTTTTTTAGTGCTTGTATGCTAACCCATCTATCAGTGGGAGAGACATAGCAGGACAATAAGCCTGTGGAAGAAAGCATATATACAAGCAGTCATTGTTTCCCATATTAAAAAATAAACAAACAACCCAAACAAACAAAAAAACCAAGTAACCAGAATTATAGCTCTTTGGTCCACAGGCAGCACTTGCACAGGCAATGTGGAAGTGTGTCTTTCCACTGCTGCAGCAAGAGCTGACAGCAACACGGCTTTGGAGACAGATACCTCATTTAAGTGCCAAAAGGCTGGTTGTCAGCGCTGGAAAGGGAGGAGTGCTTTCTATCCCAGGCAATATAGCTATCTCTGAGAATACAGCGCACATAATTCAATGCTGTAAATCAAACCAGTTGCTTAAAATAGCTTTTTTTGGGGGGGGCAATTTTTCCATCTAACCTTTAACGTTAAGGGACTAGAGTACTAATCTTAGTCTCTGGTTTCTGGTTAGAGTGCTTGTAACAACAGCTGAGGGCCAGGCTCCTAAGCTAGTACCTTAAACTTACCAAGAGGAAGATTTGAAAAAAGTACATATGGTAAAAGTAAACAGAAGGCTACACAACACTTCAGCAAATGCCACATAGTTACAATTAAGTCCTCAAAAATGTGCATGCACATGCTTTCTGTTAACATCATCTTTCTGAGAGAAATGACAGCAATATAAAAAAAAAAAATCAAATTGTTTTTAAAACTCTGCCTTTCAAAGTACTGAGCTTTGGCCTAAATTCTCTGTGCTCTCTTTCTACAGTTACGTCTACAAACTTCCCTTTTCTCCCACTAGGTAAACACTGATTTTTTTCAGCATGCAGTGTTGCCTATGTATTTATCGTTCCTTACAAAAATATAGCCATCTGGAAAGTTATAAGCACACAATTGATGTGTATTTTAAATACCTGGTTACAGATACTTAACAATGAAGAAATTCTTCATTTAAGCATGTGTTTCAGCTCTCAGAAAACGCACATATACAGAAGACTGATTTTACTTTCTCTTGCAATTATCTGAAATATTGAACATAAACCCCTGAATTAAAACCAGAAGAGCATTTCCATCTGTGAAAATGAGCATGTGATATCAACCACCAGAGAGCGCCACAGAATAATTTTTTTTTTTTTTTAATTTCAACCTCAGATTGCAAAGACTAGGAAAAAATAGTAATAAAAATTCAAGGATGACTCTTGTTTGCTTAAGTAAGAGTTTTACCACTGCCTTTTAAGAAATATAAACTACATTTTAGAAATCGTTCATAATGATGTATATAATTAATCTTTTATTGTATACTAGCTTTACTGCATACAGATTACTAACTCAGCCTGGTTATTTAGTTTTTCAAAGTGCCTGTTGTTACCATAGTCTGTTTTCTCAAGTAAAAAAAATTAAGCTTTACTGTGCTTCACACTACTGCTAAAAATATACAGCTGTATTACTACAAAAGGCTGAATGGATATACAAAAGGAAGCTCTAGCTGGAGGATAAGTATTGTATGTTCATTAAATATTCCCTGAAGCGGTGGGCATGTGCAGTGAGCATACAAAGGACATTTACCATCTCCAACTTTAGTCAGATCAGATATACTTAGGTTTGACAGTTATTTGTTTTGATAAGTATTCTTAAAAATTCAAATTTTTTTTGATTGTCTGGTATTATAGTCAGTAACAAATAGTGACAATTTCAGGTTCTCCTTCCTTGTTCTCAAATGATAGATGCTGAAATGGAGTAAAAAGAGGCTAGAGGGGGTTAGGAAGCTAGAACTGACTGAAATTATTAATTGGCAAGCTGAAAAGCAGTACCAGCAGTCATGGGCTCAGACCGCAGTAAGCCAAAATTCACAAGCTGTTACAGCCAGAAAGCTGGGGAGGAAAGGTGGTGGGTGTGATTCCAGGGACAGAAGAAGGACAAATAGAAACATCATTTGACACTAAATCATGAGTTTCCTTCCCTATCAAGCCTATTTCTCAGTTTTGTATCCTCAGACTCAGTCTCTCCAAATCTTAGCAACTCCCTTTTCACTTTTGCTTGGAAATGTTTAACATCTATACATCCAAAATTATCAGTCACACTTATGAGAGAGATTCTACTTATAAAGCAGTTATGCACAAATATTTATTGGTTAGGTATTAATCTTTTGTTTTAAGTTTGCTACAGAAACTAGCCAAGTGGTCTGTTCCTTATAGCTTTGTAAATACTTCTAACTTTTGTGCTTAAAATAATGTTTCACACATACCATTCAAACCTGTAACTTGCTTTTAGGATCTATTAATTGCATTTATGTCATTCATGTACTGAACTCAAATTAAAAAAAAAAACACACATACACACACACAGGCAATCTACATTTACATTTACTTCATATCTAAGGAAATGTGACAAAAACAGTTCAGCTGAAATACTGAAATACTCAAATTTTGCAGATACTTGAGTTTGAATGCAAAATACTTTCTAGTGTTTTCAACACATTTAATAGTATTTATTAGAATATCATTACTAATTAATGCACTCTGACTAAAGAATAACCTTTTAAATTAGAGTAAAAAGAACCACCATAGACAGCTATAGATATAGAGTGTTCTTATTACTATACAGGTGAAATACTTTCATCCTTTGTATGTAACATAGCTTAGTATGAACTCAATGAAAGAAAATACACAGCAAATGTTCAGGTAGAGTCCACGACCTCAAATGCAGGAGATTTCTACGCAACAAGATCAGAAGTTCCTCTAGACATTAAGTCATACATTATCACCCTGCAGTTGTGTGGACAAATTATTTATTCAATATAGTATTTTAATCCACTTGCTTACTTGGCATGTTCCTGAAGAGTTGTTAAAAGCTCATCAGTAGTTTTGTGGTCTTTGGCTCCAAGCGAGGACATCAAGATGTGTACATCGTTAAACAGGAGAATGTGATCATTGGTGTGCTTCTTTGTAAGCTTCAGAACATTGTCCCACCTGTTTCCAAGCTTTACACCTATGAGTAAAAAAATTATTCTCCAGTAAGAATGCCAGATGCAAAAACATCACTTTGCAATATACTTGCACTTTCACCCAGCATAAATAGCATTGCTAATAAACTTAAGAAACCTGTCCCTGATACGGCAAAATTAATAGACTAATGCTCAGCTACAGACTGCCATATTTGGGCAAATAGTTTGCTGACTGTTGATAATTTTTCACGAAAACTCTAGATTGCGTTACGAGAGGTCCTGGCTTTACTATGAGATGGCTCATCTCTTCTTGGAAATGGTGTTTATAATGAACCACCTGTAGCAATCAAATTATACAGACTGGTAAGATGGATTTCATACACATACTCAATGTATCACTAGTATTTTAACAGAATATTATAAAAAAAACTTAATTCCCCCTTCCCCCATCCCGCAGAACTCTAGCATGTACATTCTAAAAGTTAAGGAGGGAGCCTCTGGCTCTTTGTATAGTCTCACAACTCAGTGGCATAATATATATGTACTAGTTATTTCAATCAATATCAAAATATGAAGTTAAGTATTAGCGCTGATTGGAAATTTACCACAAGGGAAGCTCTACAGCTTTTTAGGGGCTTATGTATTTGATCCTTCAGCCTCAGATCTCCAGCAACAATAGAAGTGAAATATGCCAGAGAAGTACGTGACCACATTCAGCTTGTGCTGAATGAAAAAGGGTACTGGGAGGGGGCGGGAGGAAACATGCGTGCTCGGGATAAAGGTTATGCACTTTATAATAGACTCTAAACTGAGGCTTTTCTCAAGAGGAGAATTTTAAGATTTCCTCTGTAACACTGACCAAGCCTGCTCTGTAAATAACCTTCTCCAATGTGCAAAAATAAATAAAAAGTCTGTTTCCCTTACAATTTAAGAAGAATGATTGGTATCCTACCTTCCAAATGAAGTCGGTACAGCATAGAACAGCTATCTACAATATCCAGCATGCTTCCACTCAACAGATACCGGGGAGCAATCTGTAACCACAGGTATTCTGTAAGTTACCCTGCCAGTGTGCTAGTGAAAACTTCATCAGATAATCAAGCTTATTTTCACAGAATCACAGAACAGTTGAGGTTGGAAGGGACCTCTGGAGAGCATCGGGAGAGCTCAAGCAGGGTCGCCTGGAGCACGTTGCCCAGGATCATGGTCAGACTGCTTTTGAATATCTCCAAGGAAGGAGACTCCAGCCTCTCTGGGCAACCTGTTCCAGTGCTCAGTCACCCTCACAGGAAAGACGTTTTTCCCCATGTTCAGATGGACCTTCCTGTGTTCCAGTTTGTGCCAGCTGCCTCTTGTCCTGTCGCTGGGCACCACGGAGAAGAGTCTGGCCCCATCCTCTTGACAACTTCCCTTCAGATACTTGTACATAGGAGTAAGATTCCTCTCTCAGTCTTCTCTTCTCCAGGCTCAACAGTCCCAGCTCTCTCAGCCCTTCCTCATATGACAGATGCTCCAGGCCCTTAATTATCTTAGTAGCCCTTCACTGGACTCACCCCAGTAGCACCATGTTTCTCTTGTATTGGAGAGCCCAGAACTGGACACAGTACAGAATTAATTTTAGCTTCTGATTCATCCAGAAATATCTGTTTTGCAATAGCTCTAATTGCATCTTTCCTGAATAGAGCAATGTGCAAAAACAAACATATATGTTTTGTTTCATTTGTGTTGTTCTGCCCATGTCGAAGTTAAATCCAGTAAGTATTAGAGGCCACAAGCATATTCTGTTCTTTCCGAAACAGAGTTGTAAATATTACCTCACTTTGCCAGGGTTAATAGATGGAGTCTACACAGCAAGTGTCTTAATACTTCCACTGTTTTTACAATATTTACAAAGATATGTTATCCCATCTGATTTGGTATTGCTTATTTAAGAAAAGTGTTTTGAAATCTGATCAGTAAAGAACTATAATAAACTAGTAGGAATGAAAAGGCATGTTTATGTTGACCCATTAGTTAACATGCAAAATTAGTTCTTTGCAAAGGTAATTTGAGTTTATAGGGAATATATTTTACATCCCTTTTTAAAAGTTTTCTCTAGAACTTACATAGCATGAATAAGAGACAAGGAGAGACTAGCAAACAGTACCAGTGCTACCCCTGTAGCTCCTAAAAGCACAAGTGTAAGAATCACTTATAAACTATACAATGCTGTGTCTTTTGGGCATTTTACCAGTTGAGAAACAGCTTCCCCATAAACATTGTAACAACAGATGTAAATAAAATAAGTATGGCACACTGACAGGCTTCAATCTCATACAGAGGGAAGAAAGCACATATCATGGTCTTGAGTACGTTCACAGTAAAGAAAAGAGCCCTCTACTCACATGATTGTCGTAAATTGTCAAAGCAGCCTCATATTCACCCTGTAAAAGCAAATAAGGACTGTGTGATTAATACTCAGTCACAGTAACCAAAAATGATTGGCAGAGTCATAGATATATGTACAATCAAGAGATGTCATAATATTGTTTCACAACTGCCTCACGACTTGATCAGAAAACCTGAGTCAAAGAAACCTAGAGGCATTAGAAGGAAGAACTAAGATAAACCAGGATTTACCAGGCAAAATAATCAGTATGTTTAGGTTTTATTTAGTAATGGATAAACAATACTGCTGTAAGTTACACATGAGGGAGAAAGATGAGATATTACCTCTGGTTCTAATGTTCCTTTCAGTGATCTTTGCAAAAACTAGTGCATCCTACAGTGTGTGCAAAGAGGTAGGAAGAAAAATAATTTTAAGCAGGCTACAAAGAAGTTGTATAGACATAAGGCGGCAAAATAAACAAGCTATTAGACGAATTCTGGGAATTATTCTCCTTCTATGTTACTAATACTGAACTATTTTTATAAAGTGTTTCGATAAATTTGAAATCTCTTTAATGACAAGAAAAATTAATAACATTAGCTACTAGATTTAATAGATCTGTCCCATTGTCTCTTTTCTACAGTCTTTGGGCCAGCAATCTAGAACTGAATTTGAAGAGAATTTTGCCTTACTTTTGTCTAAAGATGGGAGAACCAAGTTCATCTTTCTATCAAACAATTGTGCCAAGTGTAAGTAGTGAGAATATTTGATCTTCAAACATCTAATAATCTCACAAGCAATTTTTCAACATTCTAATAAAAATCATGGAACTTTCTCCAATGTAACTAAAACTTCTCAGTATAATAACAGACTATCTTACAAAAATGGCATTGTGTTATTTCATAAAAACATCCCATAGCCGGAAGTCCCCTGCCCCCCATAACTATCTTTTAAATAGTGTAAAAGGAATTATCTATCTGGACACCACAAAACTTCTATAAGAAAACATCTCATACCTTTTCAATAAAATATAAAGCCCAGTGCCAGTAATTATGGCCAGAAAGCATATTACTGTTCTGGAAAAAAAGAAAGAAAATTATTTGCAAAATAATTTCCCCTTTAAATCTATCCAGTAATTGTTTTCTTCTTCAGTAAAAGCGAGTACTTCATGAGATAGCAGGGACAAGAATTTTACACCAGTCCGCCAGGATACCTTCTCACATGATACATTTGCTCCTTGTGGCTATTCAAGGAGATACTTCAAAACCAATGTTTTTCCCACATCATTTTCCAAAGAGAAACTGCATTTGGATGTATTCATCCTTTTGTGGCATTTTTTTTTCCTTTGGGGTGTGTGTGTGTGTGTGTGTGTACGTCTGTGTCTGTAATGAGAGCTAGGTTTGTCTCATCTAAAATGAAGATGCGTAGTCTAAAGTTGCCCAGAGAGTTAGAGGGGAAAGAGATCCATTTTATGTGGGCCATTCATCCCACCTATCTAGATACCCATATGGGGTAGAGAGGAATCACTTCTTAAAGGCATGTCTTACTGCTGATTCCAGGTGCTATACGAGACACCAAACACATAGGCAGTTTATCAGATAACATGAATATCCCCTGGACTGTACTAACTTTGCACTGTTCTTTCCAGCAGCTTGAATACTCCTCCCTAGCCTGCACCCAAGACAATGTCATCGCCATTCACTTTGGTGAGTGCATGAAGAAAAGACAAACAAGAATGTATTTCTATAACCCACTGGTGAAAATTAAAATATGAGAAAGGTTCTTCCCTCCTCTCCCATTCCTTCCTCACATTGTAGTTAAAAATTAATCTTCTCACAAGTGGAAAAAGCATGTTTGTTTTAGTGGTGACTACTGTAACGCCCACTTTTGGTAAGCACAAAGGTTCCCAGTGATTCTCAGAATTTTACGGTACTCAGATAAACAGTCTGGTAATCCTTACTTTTTTAATATTAAAGCATAAAACAAACTTGAGCAACTGAAGTAGTTAAGCACTTGGTGTAAACCTGATAACATCAAGTTTAGCACCAAACACTATTCCAAATGTCATACAAACAAGAATACTGGGTTCGCTCCTTGTGAATAAAATGAAGACTTTTTTTTGTTGCTGATTTTGAGTCCTGAATGAGATTAAATTGCTGTGGGAAAGTGGGCTGCTAAGAATAAATACATAAATAAGGCAACCTGCTTTATTTTATGTAAAAAGTAGTCAAGGCAAGGACAACAGAACAGCAGGCTATCAGAACTCATTGCAAGAGTACTGGAAAAAAAACCCATTTATAATAAATAGTACTGGCATGGAGGCCCCTTTGGCAAGATATTTTGCCCCTTTTGATTTTGTACTGAAATATACATACGGAACGAATGGCATCTGCTTTTTTTGCAGCGAGAACAAAAAAAATAAAACTACCTTGGAAAGAAAACCTATACCAAATCTATGCCATTCTTATTGTAAAGAAGAAAAACAAATTAAAAGCAACAGAGGGAGCCTGAATGCTGTGGCAGTAGAGATAGATGATCCAAGTCATTAAAAACAAATACAAGCAACTTCATTAATGCCCTTAGAGCTCCATGATTTTTTTCATGTGCTGACATTTGAATGTTCAATGCTCATAATGCCCAAAATGAAAAATACTGCACAGAAGGAATGATTATACACATTATAATCACAACAATGTCAGTTGTTATAAATCTTAACTATACTGGGTCAGACATGAAGGTGTGTCAGATAATTCTGCTTACTGATTTTGCACTTTGCTTTCACAGAATCACAGCATGGCTGAGGTTGGAAGGGACCTCTGGAGATCATCTAGTCCACCCCCCCTGCTCAAGCAGGGTCCTCTAGAGCATATTTCCCAGGATTGCATCCAGCCAGGTTTTGAATATCCCCAAGGAAGGAGACTCCACAACCTCTCTGGGCAACCTGTTCCAGCGCTCTGTCACCCTCACAGGAAAGAGGCTTTTCCTCATGTTCAGATGGAACCTCCTGTGTTTCAGTTTGTGCCCGTTGCCTCTTGTCCTGTCGCTGGGCACCACGGAGAAGAGCCTGGCCCCATCCTCTTGACAACTTCCCTTTAAATATTTATACACATTGATGAGATCCCCGCTCAGTCTTCTCTTCTCCAGGCTCAACAGGCCCAGCTCTCGCAGCCTTTCTTCATACGAGAGACGCTCCAGTCCCCTCATCATCTTGGTAGCCCTCCGCTGGACTCTCTCCAGTAGGGCCATGTCTCTCTTGTACTGCGGAGCCCAGCACTGGACACAGTGCTCCAGGTGAGGCCTCCCCAGGGCTGAGCAGAGGGGCAGGATCACCTCCCTCCACCTGCTGGCAACACTCTGCCTAATGCACCCCAGGATACCGCTGGCCCTCCTGGCCACCAGGGCACGTTGCTGGCTCAAGCTTAACTTGTCCATTAGGACTCCCAGCTCCTTCTCTCGGAGGTAGGTCTCTGGACCTACTTTCCAGCAGGTCAGCCCCCGGCCTGTCCTGGGGCACCTGGGCTTATTCCTCCCGAGGTGCAGGACCCTGCACTTGCCTTTGTTGAACTTCAGGAGGTTCCTCTCCGCCCACCTCTCCAGCCTGTCCAGCTCCCTCTGCATGGCAGCACAGCCCTCTGGTGTGTCAGCCACCCCTCCCAGTTTTGTATCATCAGCAAACTTGCTGAGAGTGCTTTATTTGGATAAAGGGTATAAATTGCAGGGGCATGCAACTATTTTAAGAAACAGAGTTCAAAAGGGATGGAAGGTAGGGACTCATTTTGAAAAGGATTGGTGTGATTTTGAAGGCAACACCCAAACTGTTGGTTCTCGGTATCACTGTTTTATTAAAACTGGTGTTGCCCAAGGACAAAATGTTCTGTGAGGCATGACGGATCTGAAACTCAAGTGAGGGATCTGAAACTTATATGCCTACACTTCCAAGCCTGATACTTGAATAGTCTAACTTAAAAAGCAAAAAAATTCTAAACTCATTATCCAGCCCGGCTGGATGGGTGAGGTGGAAGTGCCCCCCAACAAGAGTAAAGCTCACCTATGCAGCCACCAGCAAGCTCAAGTGACTCTCAAACTCTTGCAGGTTCTAACAACAACTCCAAACCTACACTGTCCAACACAAATAAAAATTAAGTTTCACTTCCAGCAAAGAACCGTATAACAGACTAATTACACTGTTCAATACTCTGCCGAGAAATATTCAGATACATTGGATATATAAAATAACTTGGGTAGACTGAAAAAAACAGTCACAAGCATCATTTCTCTTTCCTTCACAGCTCATCTTTAAAAATCCTTCCCTATCCAGAAGCAAACATGAGTGTTTAATGAGCCTCCTGAAATGTTTGCTTTGTGTTATTCCGCAGCTCATCTTAGGTTACTGTGAAGATGTTTGGCCAGGTTCTTCATCTGACTCGCATGGCTCATCTTGGTTTAAGCAGAAAGCTTGTAAAAATATACACTGTACTGCACAGGTCACTTTACTTTCACCAGCCACTGTAGATAAAGCATAATAACCATGTAGCTATCAATAAATTACAAGTTTCATGCTTGATGTTTCACCTGTCAACAGTGACACTGTCTTTACAAGATGTAATGTATCTAGCCAGTTTCTTTTTTTCTAAGCAAGCACAGCTATGGTGTATGTACAAACTACACATTTGCTCAAAAGCAGTGTTTATTACAATATTCCTAGCTAAAATAAGGCAGTGTGAAAGGATAGACTTTGGGTGACTCCGGCCTACTCACCTGTTTGGCATTTGTATAACTTCAAGCCATCCTTACTAGAAATGCTGAAGTGACGCAAAATAAGTAACCCTCATAAAATGCCATTTTTTCCTGCCTCTTGCTTCAAAAATGGCATGGATGATAACTGCACCTGAAGTGAGGGTTTCCTCTAATTTGTAAAATTTGCATTGCTTGTAATATCTCTGTAGGTGGAAAGGAATTGTGTACAAAAGAAAAAAAATAACAAACATACAATTTGGCTAGAGGAGAGAAAGAAGACCTATAAAATTATAAATTATAAGAACATGTACCTTCCAGTTGGTTTCTGTTTCTTTCATAAATGCTAACCCTTTCTCCACCTCTGCTTTCATTTCATTTATGTGTGCTATAGTATGAACAGACCACGCATCTGTCTTATTCACAGCCAAGGCCTATGAGAAAAAAAAAAAAGAAAGAAAACATGATAAAGCTTACAAAACTGTAAATAATCATGTTTATTATTGCCAATATAGCAACTAGAGACTATTTCTCATTCTGCATGTTAAGTATACCACTGTACTGTTCCAGCTAACCATGGCCTGGAAGACTGATTTGAACAGAAAAGAGAGAGAATGTTTATTGGCTGACTTCCTGGCTTCTACTGTACAGAGATGGACAGCTGCAAAACAGCTTTAAAATGCAGGCTTTAATGATGATTATCAAATGTTACTTTACTTCACAGACATCCACCAATATCAGTCATAAAAGAATTACATGCATAGGCAGAGACATATTCTTTCATCCTCCTTCTCAACATAGGACAAGCTAATAATTTGCTTAAAAAAAAAAAAAAGCATTGTTCTCTGCAGTTTTTCCTGAAGGAATATGGTCAGTTTCGAGTATTGAGCAACTTCTTTCCTGCTCCAACGAGTTTTAGTCTTCTTACAATGTTAGTCATTAAAGTTAAATGATTAGTCTTTGTTGTCCCTTATAACAGTTTGATGTATAACAGAAGCTTGGCAAAAACACACATTACAGATTATAACTGAGACTCTTGCAGGACAGGGATAATCCTGAGGACTGGAGGGCGGGGAAAAAAACAAAACAAATAAATGAACAAAAAAAAAAATGACACACAACAATTGCAATTACTATCTTCATGAAAAGAGAACAGGTAGATTAATTTTGAGCCCCAGAAACATTCTGGGGTTAACCGTTCAATAATCTAGGGGCAAGCATTTAGGAAAGAGGAAGAAAAAAACAACCAGGATGGATTGTCAAGAGCAGATTGCCTCAAACCAATCTAACATTCATTAACAGGGGTAAATAGCCTACTGCACGTAGGAGAAACAGTAAATGGGATGTATACTGTTTTAGACAGGATTTTGGACGCTCTCCAACACGGCATTCTCATAAGCAAGTGAAGGAAACACAGTCAAGATGAGATTACCATGGTACGGCATAGATGGAGGAATCTCTCTAAGGAATAGTTATCAACAGTCCTTTATGAAACTATGCATGCATTTCCATGTTAAGCTTTCTCTCTTCACTATTTCTACTAACAACTGGGATGATGGAGAGAGTCAGTCTATGATATTTGTGGAAATCATCACCCAGAGACAGGCTTCAAGCAATCTGGAGGATGGGAACAGAATTCAGTATGATACTGACACATTGGAGGAACGATCCAAAATCAACTTGGGGGAAAAAAAGAAAAGGAATATGCTGTATGTAAGAAGGAAAAAAATCAAATGAATAAACATAACAATAGAGAACAGCTAGCTGGAAGAAGGCAAAGTTCATCACATATGAAATAAGGGTCAATCTGTTGTAGTCATAAAAAAGGCAAATTCTACTCCTGTTAACAGCAGCGTCATATGTAAAAGATGGAAGATAACTGTTCTGTTCCAGCACTGATGGAGATTCAACCGGACAAGTTAGTCCACCTAGGACCGTACATGGAAGAGAAATGAACAAGCTGGTCTAGGTTTACGTGATCCTTCCTCAGATCAAGTGAATAGCCTCAGTGACCTCATGAAGTTGCTGCTAGTCCTAGCTTTGTAAAAATTTCATATCGAGGAGTTGAACTGTTTCCATTCTTGCAGTGATTGATATTTTGGAATTCTAAAAGCCCTTTGTTACAAAGGGATGCTGACACCTTTATATCCCTCTCTGAAATCAGGAGATGCATAGATTCCCGATCCACTTGCCAAGCTATTTTCCAAGAATTAATAACATACACTACAAGTCTCTAATACGCAAAATTGCATGTTACTGAAGCAAACTGACATAATTTCCTGTCTTCATCACTCCTTCCTTCATTACTCTCTTCCTGAGATAATAAAACCAGCAAAAGTTGTGGAAGGAACACATTTTCTGCTGTCAGCTCTACCTTCAATTACCTTCAAGATAACCTGAATAAAATGACAAAGTAGCACCTATGAATTTTAAAGCAGTTCCTTACTTTTGTTTATTGAATTCTGAATGTCCCTTAACCAAATTTCTCAAATGAAGATTTCCATGCAGACCATAATTTAACAATTCTAAAATCTTTTAGCACCAATAGCAACCAGTTTACCTTACAAGCAAGCTCTTCAGCACGATCAAAGAGGTTTGTTTCCATCAGTCCAAAAGCGTAGTAGCCCTTCACATAGCTAAACAAAAGGAGGGGGAAAACAAAAGCAGCACTTCATTCATTTAGCATTAGATCTAAGCTACTATTGAGGAAAGAAAAAAAAACACTTTAAAAGTAGTATTTACCTCAAAGCAATTCTTACTACGCAAGCTACAACACTGAACAGTGGAAAGAGGTCAGAACCTGCCTTTTTTTTTTTTTTTAAATGAGCATATCTAAAAAAAGACCAACTCTTCCTCATTCCCAACGCACATAGTAATAACATCATGTAATAGATTTATTGTGCTCGCTAGAGCATCATGTGGAATTGGGAACACAGCATTTTAAGAAATGTAAATTTGTCAATGCTAAATTGTAGAGTATGTAAGTAATATCTAAACTAAATGCCTGTTTTCCTGAACGTGGTCTAAATCACTGTTTTATCATTTTCCAAATTTAAAAACATTTTGTAGAAAAATGAATATCAACAGAGGAAAAAAAAAGGGCCCATGAGTGAATTAAGACTTACAGAAGCTAGGGTGGGGAGAAGGTGTTAAAACACTTTCTAGTTTCTGAAAGGTGGCTACTCTGGCTTCCACGACCCACCAGGCTGCAGTTGGTAAAAATCACCTGTCAGGCTGCTGCTGATGGTGGCAAACTGCAGTGCTATTCTAAGATTCGGAAGGTGCAAGCTTGCAGAATACAGATCAACTAGCTAGTTCTCAAAGGAAAAGAGGCTCTGGGACACAAGCATGGAAAGCAGTGACAGACTGCACCTCACCAGTGTCATGTGAACTGATGTTTACGTCTCCGGACAAGCTGGAATTAACAAGGCTGCACAGAACAACCTGCTGATCTCTTAAGGGTAGCAAAATGCAGAACTGATGGTTAAAAGCAAGACAGTGCTGCTTCTGAAGTTAGTTGAACGTCTCAAATGCAACACATTTAAACGATTGTAACCTTCCGCACTTTCCAGAGCACTCACAAAACTACAGGTGAGTGTTTTATGTGAAGCGGCTCTTTAAAACAGGTTATTTCCATTGTCAACTCACAAAGCACCCTCACTAAGTAATAAAGGCCCAGGGTAAAGGAAAATTAGGAATGCTATATACTTTTATAAATACACATGATGTGATCATTTTAAGAAATATTTAACTCCTACTATATTTACTGATTTGTAGATTGCAAAATACCATGGATAAGTTCCTTGTTCTCAAAGTACCTGTTGTATTTTCGGTTTTAAACTCCTGACATAATGGAAATAATAATCTGTGTGGGGTACATTGTGCATTATTCATCTCAATCCCTGAAATGAATCAAGATTGATTTTTTTTCCCAAAGTAAGTTTCAATTCATATGCAAGTATGTGGCTGTTGGTTTGAGGACAAGGGGTACCTGCTGGGTTTTGACACTTCAGGAAAAGCTTGGCAAACAGATGTTTCTTTTGCCTTTACAATTAAGTGGACAATAGCCTGCAGTTTTGTAGCATGTGTGCCTGGAAAAGTTTACAAAAATGCAGTCAAAACCGCTGAAGAGTCTTCTTTTCCCAGCAATTAACAATGGCATCCTGTAGTTAGAAGGATGAAGAGTTTCAAATTTTTCTGGGTTGAGATAACACAGCTAGAAAGAGACTTCTGATACTGCCTGCTATCCCATGAGATTGTGGGGTGCACAGCTTAGCTACACTACTCTGCTAACATTCAGTCTACTCTTCTTTGCACAGTTTGTGGAAGAGACAAGAAGAAAAATTGTGTTGGATACAGAGAAACAATGCATTGGTCTACAGTAACATTCACAAAATATTCAGAAAGCTATGGCTGCCTGTGGATGGCCAATACATTTATCTCTAAATGTTAAATGCATGTATTGGCTTATAATTTAATGTAGATTTTTACATAAAGTTAGAGGCTTTTGAATAATTTAACAGTTCTTAAAAATAATTTATA